TGTGAAGCCGTTACCATGGCGACTCCACTGCGCTGTATAATAGAAGCCATTTTAAGGCACAACAGGCTGTATCTTAACAGAACATACATTCCAAGGGATGTTAGCGGGGTCTTATCCCCACAGTATTTGTTTCCAGAGAGTAAGTCATCTGTGCACCAAGTTTGGTTGAAATTGCTCAAGTTGTTCCAGAGTTATGCTGGAACATTACATACACAGAGACAGAGAGAGAGACATTTTTATATATAAAGATTGTGGTTTTAGGACACCTTTGACTATCCTAGCATCCCCTATATACCACAGCAATATTAGAGGCTAACCAGTGGATAAACAAAAGCTTAAAACTAAAGGCCACTGTATTGGGGAAGGAATATTAGGGCATAACGAGCTGGGAGATAACAATGGAAATAGGCAAGAACAATTACCTCATCAAAGAAAATGGAAGCATTTTTTATTTTCTGGGAAGTAAGATAATATTAGAAAGACTTGGGTAAGCTCAAGAAAAGGAGGTACAGCCTATTTTTACCAAGGTTCTGTTACTGTAGCCTATTTCCAAAAGTAAGTTCTAATATTCCTGAAGAGTTGGTTCCCTCTACCACGGAGGACTAGCACAGCAACACATAGCCATCCTTGGCTGAGACTTGGTGGGGGATCAGTAAGAATTCCCAGAATCATTGCTGGGACTGATGTAATGATACGTGGGAATGACCTTGAGAGGCAAGGGAAGAGCTGCAGTCAGGGCAACAGTCAAAGATAAGGAAGCTTAGCCCATTGAAAACACATGGAATAGCATATGTTTCAGTAGGGACCTTCCCTAGTTTCTTGGACTGTAAAGTTAAGAGGGGAGATGTACTTTAGGCTTGTAAGACTCTGTTAATTCTGTCAAGATTGAACCACTTTGTGTCTTTCAAACTTAACACTTTTCAACTTGCCAATTAATTAGGGGGAGCAAAGAGGGAAATAGAATGCTGAGAATGTGAGTGAGGATTGTGAGAGCCTGGCAACCATCAAGGTCACCACTGTAGGTGCTTGAGAAAGAGATGGACTGTTCCCATAATAAAAGGAGGCTTCATAACTGGACAATGTGATCACCCAATGGTGGGAGAAAGGAATAGTATTGTTTAACTAAGCAAGCATTTGCACAGGAAAACCTGAGCTGCTTTTGTTTCTTCAGTACCAAAATGGTGTATCTAATAAAATTTTACTTTTGGGTATTCAAAACTCCGGAGAGCTTATTTTGGATTCACTAGTTGGATAGTTGGCAGTAACTTTACAATAAAGCAGAACTAGTACTTCTAGGTGTGCTTCTTGTCTGGACTACCTCAAAAGGCTCAGATGGTTGAGCTGAACCCAAATTCTGAAATGACAAGAATGCATTCAAAAATTGTGTCACCTCAAAAAAGTCTTGGGTTTTCTTCAGGAGATGTTTGAGTTCAGTGAGTTCTAGAAGGTTCTGCCTCAATGACTGCAGGTTCTGGTTGGCTTCTTCCAACTCACATTCCAGTTTCTCCAAGACTGTCTGTTTATAGCCAGAGAGAAACAGAAGCACTGTATGTCCAAACATTCTGTCACACACTTCAGTGCTGACAAAATAGATTATTCTAAAGATGGATTATTACACAGCATACATTTCAAAATGCATCTCAGCATGTTAGGCAATTTTACAGTAAATATTAACGCCTCAGCCCTACTTCTGGGTATGAATGATTCACAAATGATATAAATTAAATGCAGGTAATGAAATAACTAACGGAAAATCCAGCAAATCATCTTCTGTTTATGTTAGGTAAAACAATGAGGGATTCTAACATGTTTTTTTTACATTTCTGCTAGTTAAGCAACAAGCTTCCAAGTCATTTACTTTTTGTTCTCAATTCAGCTTTAACCATTAACCCTACTGATCATAGTCTGTCTAGACTAACAGGAAAAAAGAAAATATTCCTTTGAATCAATGGTGATTTCTTGTTACTTCATTGACATTGGATTTTTTTCAGAAGTGTTTATACCTTCCCGGGGTAGCCTATAACCCTGGTATTCCTGGTATTCCTCCTATCTAACACCAGCTAAGTGCAATCCTACTTAGCTTTTAAGTTAGTCAAGAGTGAGAAAGTACTGGATTACCCAATTCCTACCCTCCCAGGTTTAAGTATTAGTTAGAGCAATCTCCAATCTATGGCTTCACAATATATTGGATTATTGATATCATAATCCTCCGCCAGCATGGCCATATTGGCTGGAGAAGATGAGAACCATAAGTAATTAACTTTATTTGTAACTATAACATAGAGCATACCATGAAATAACAATAGAATAGTAGAAGTAAAATGAATTTTTTTTTTTAAAGGAAGAGTAGTAGACTTAAGAAGGATAAAACATGATAAAGCCAAAGCTACAATTAGGAACTACAAAATTGAATAAGCTGTTGCATTTATAAACTTTCTATATCGAACAAACTATTCTGAGTGACTCTTGACTTAATGGTATGAATAACGATCTTGACTTAATGTTATTTTGGATTGTCGTCTCCTGCTGGGTTAACCCAACTGTCTACCGTGCTTCTCTAACCAAAAACATGCAAAGTCTACCTCTAAGTCAATCATTTCTCGTGGTGGTGGAGTATCTGGATATTTCCCGTATATGACAGGTGGGATCTCCTCCCCCATCTCACTTTCCAGAAAACCTGGGAGGAAAAACAAATGGAAACACACTGGCTAAGTTCACAAAACACACTCTTCTGCCTTTCCCACACCATATGAAACTTGGTTAGTTACAACTTTGGTGATTAAGGGTTTTGTGCGAACATGGATATGGCCTAACTTTTCACCTCTTTAATAAATGGAGTGACAAGTTGTGTCATGTTAAAGAGATATCCTCTGCATTAATCATTGGGGCAACCAGGCTTTGAGTGGTTAAGGGCAACAGTTTTTAAATCTCTGGTTTTCTTAATTGGCAATGGTATAATAGCATCACTGGAAGAAACACAGGTAAATATTTTCAGTCCTGCTTTTCATTTTTACAAGGCAGAAGACATCTCTCATTAAAAAAACCAGGTATGTTAAACCCTACGGAAAGTTGAAGATATTTGTTTTTATTGCTTTGTTTGCCAAGGATCTACAGAATATCAGAAAACTTTTTCAAAAACAAAAATGATCTGGAAAGAGGGATGGTGAACAGTTTACGAATGGCAATACCAATAGCACTTAGACTTATATATTGCTTCATAGTGCTTTTATAGCCCTCTCTGGTTTTCAGAGTCAGCATATTGTCCCCAACAATCAGGGTCCTTATTTTACCCACCTCAGAAGGATGAAAGCTGAGTCAACCTTGAGCCAGTAAACTGCCAAATTGCTGGCAGCCGGTGATCAGCAGAAGTAGCCTGCAGTACTGCACTCTAACCACTGCACCACCGCGGCTCATAAAGAGTTTCCAAGAAAGCTAATCACATTTTTAAACTGTTTGACTTACACATACATAGATAATTGTCAAATGTGGATTGTGTAACTATATCCTTGAATGGAAAAGCACCTTTGGGACTTCCTTGGATGCTAATTCATAGGAGGCAATTTTTTCTAAGCAGTTTATTTGTGCAACTAAGCCTTGCTGTTGGCACTGATCAGCAGATTCCACAAGATCTCCAGCAAAAAGGTTTTACTGCAATACGATTTTAGGAATCTGAAATCTGCCTTTGGGATTTTCTACTCATTTGGGCATGGTCTACAGCTGCTGCCTTCAAATCTTTGGGCACCAGAGACTGGTTCTCTGGAGGACAGTTTTTCCATGGACTGCAGGGATGGCATGGTTTCACTCATTGTCTGGTTCCACTCACTTGTGCGGCCTGGTCCCTGGGAAGCAACGGACTGGTGAGGGGCATTAGGGACCAATGGTCTACAGTGATCTGCAGCAAGCAGTGCCTCCTTTCCAGTTAATACTGCACCTTATTTCCACTTTTTGCTCAGTTCCTGGGGACCTTTAAAATGCTAAATCAAAAAGTGCTAATAATTGCTGTTTCTGTGCAGTAAAACATTCTGGAGATTGTTGGACTAAGAACAGTTCTCAATAAATGTAATTTTTCAATAAACTAAAAGCTACTTACGAAGGACCCTTTCTAAGGATTCACATCTTCTTACTTCATTCACAAACCTTCTTTGAAAGTTGTTCACATTTGCATTCAACTAAAGAAAATTCATATAAAAACAAAACGTTAGTCAAATTATCCAACATTATATCTATCTATCTATCTATCTATCTATCTATCTATCTATCTATCTATCTATCTATCTAT